ATATATATATATATATATATACAAAAAATATATGTTAATAAAAAAAAATCTTAACAAGCATATTAAGATTTTTGTTTGTTTTTTAATATTTTTTTTTATATATATATATATATATATATATATCAACAAAAAAGGGTATAAAAGAAAAAAATTATCCCATTTTATATTTTTTAATTTTATGCATGCATGTGGTTTGTTTGGATTTTGTCAAAGATAGTATAGTAGGGTTGTTGGGCAATTATCTTTAAAAAAAAAAAGCACTATGATACATTTGACTCAGCCAGAAATTTGGAAACGACATGCTATACTACTTTTAAAATTTGTAAATAATGATGCAGCAATAGAAATATTTAGAGTGTTTGATGTCAATCTGAGGGCAATTTCGGAGGATTATCAGCAAAGAGTTGAAGGAGTATGAAGGTATGGCATCACAGCAAACTCACTTTGATCATTCTGATAAGGAAAGAATTCCCAAATTTGTTGGCTAGGGTCTCAGGTTCAACACGGAGGCCTACATCCAACTGCCTTGTGGAGGTAGTGCTGCCCTGTGTCAACTGTGTTGGGCAACATGACCCTGAACACACAATCAGGAGAACTCAGTCATGGCTATCAGACAATTTCTGCAACCACACCACCCCTTACATCTGGTAACCTAACTCCCCAGATTGCACCCCCCTTGATTATTATGTGTTGGGGTGCAGTTGAATGAGAGACCAACAAAACTCCTTGTAAGATGAAAGATGAACTGAAGGCAAAGGATTATTTGAATATTCACCAACATAAATAAAAAGGGACCAACCAGAAGAGATTTAGAAATTCTTTTCATCTGGAGACTGTTATTGAAGCCAATGGCAATTTTATTCAATAAATTTACTTGGATTTTAGTATTTCAAGATATTTTATGTAATTTTGGTAAATATATTTGATTAAATGAGATGTCAATGTTATTTTCCAATTTTACATAATTTAACATGGCAATTTATCCATCGCACTATATATACAGTATAACCCGGATATAAGAGAGTTGTCGGGACTGGAGAAGAAGTCTCTTATATCCGGGTTTGGTCTATTTTATATACATTAACACAGGCTCTAATTTGGGACCAGAGAAAATCTCTTTATATATATATATATATATATATATATATATATATGCAACCTTTTTTTTTTTTTTTTTAATTCCACCATTCACACATTTGATGTAATGAATTTCATGTCCCTCAAGGTAACATCATTTAAGCAGTCAAACTGACATTTTTATTTGTATTTGGGGGGAGGGGTTGTCAGTTGTAATGAAAGAGAAGCAGTAAACATTAAATAAGAAATAAAGGCACAAAGAGAGGAATTGAGTTAAACAAATATATTAACAGAAAAATGGTAATACAAACGAGAGTGTTACAGCAAGAATGTTCGGTCTGACTGTCAGAGCTGACTGCTGGAAACTTCACCCCCAGCCAAAAGGCAGTACCTGCCCCTATTTATAGCAGGGAGAGTCTGTGTACATGGGTAAATTACCATAATAGATAGAAAAGATGTAAAAAGTTAAATGGAGCAAAATGTCAACAAGAGAGCAGAAATTTACAAAATCCAACTTTGTTTGTCACCAAGGACAGTGGAAAGAAGCATTGGCTGAAGTAATCCAAAAAGTGACTTAACCTGAAGAGTTGTGAGTTCAATACCTGGCCACAGAGGGAACAAAAACTTGGAGTGTTGAGTTACTAAAGGGAATTAATTGTAACTGAGATATCTTAAAAAAAAAAAAAAAAAAAAAAAAGGGGGCATGACATGGGGAATTAGAACAATCTAATTCTGTAAACTAAATAGAGGGTCCAGTTTGAAATTCTAATGTAAATCACCTGTATGCCAGAGCGTACAACATCTGAAACATTGTGAATATGGCAATAAAGATGAGGACAACAGTCTGAATGATGTAAATAATACTTTATCTCAGAAATATAGACTGATCCCCAAAAAACCTATTGAATGAAATAAAACATTGTTCTCTATCTATAAAAGGGATAAAAGTGTGTGTGTGTGTGTGTGTGTGTAATGAATGCACAGCCACAATTTTGACAGATTTGCACCAAAATTTACATGCACATGCTCCAAGTTAGCAGGAAGGCCAAGGCCAACTTTGCATTTCCCAACTCCCATCGATAGTGGAAATAATTGATTTTTTTCATGCTTCTACGGCAGTTTTCATGTAGTTTGCGGCCATTTTCTACTGGCCAGAGTGAGAGCCTATAGCTGGCTGCCACGAATAGGCAGGAAGATTCTATTGGCCAGTGTGAGAGCCAACAGCTGACTGACACGAATGTTAACTAGCATGCTAGCATGCAAAAAAAAAAAAAATCAATACCTGCATTCATCACAGGTGGGAAAAATTTAAATCTGCATGGCACTTTACTCCAATTGGCTCATTCGCTTGCTTAAACTCAACATTGATTCTGATTCCACAGAACTGGGTTGGGTGAAAAAGTATTTGTTGTTAACATTCTTTTTTTCATTCGTTTTTCCAGTTACAAGTCCTTTTTAAAGCTGATCTTTTTGTGTTCATTTTGTTTAGTTTTTTTTTTTTTAGTAACAGATTTAATGTTTAGTATAGAGCTTAGAAAAATTAGCAGTATGAGATAGGCAAGAAGTAAGGCATGTAGCAACATCAGCAAGGCAAAGGGCACTCCTTTAAAGGCAAGGAAGGGCAAAAAATATTTTAAGTCAAGTGATAGCGATTGCTGTATGATTCATACAATTTTTGAATCGAGCACGGGCAACGCCGGGCCATGCTGCTAGTATGGCAATAAAGATGAGGACAATAGTGTGAATGATGTAAATATCCAGCTTTGTCTGTTACATATATGTATACGCCCACACAGCACTGTTTTCCTTTCATTTTTTTGTAAATGAAAAGAAACCAAAAATGCAACAAAATCTGATCCACTTTGTATTAATTAAATTTCTCTTAGACTATTGGCCTATGAGTAAACATGTGTAATTGTGCCTTTTACACAACCACTTTTAACACTTTCACATTCAACTATGCCATTATCAGATTTAAAAGCCTGTGGTCCTAAGATAAAAAAAAAGATTTAAAAAAAAAAAGAAAATGGATGAAAATCCAACATGATATTCAATAAAAAATTTAAAACCACAAAAAGAATAATCGGAAAAATTTCCCAAGCTCCATAGACAGAAAAGAGAGAAAAACCAGTTTGTACAAAATTTTTCTTTTTAAAAATAAAAACGTGTTCAGCTCAACAAGACCATATCTGCTGTTAATACTCCCAGTAGAATGTAGAATATTTATATGTGGCTTCGTCTTAGAATAATGGTAAACAGGTTGGGCTCACAGATTATAAGGACTGAATTGTGACATGAATCCTAATTGGGAACCATGTGCAAGTAGCTTTGTTTCAATATAATCTAACCTGATGAGAGCATATTTAAAAGTTCTCATTCAGACACACTTTCTAAAAAAAAAAAAATATATATATATATCAGAAATTTGTGTGATTGGGAGCAACACCTCCTTTTTCACCTACTATATACCAAAGTTACATTAAAAGAACCCAGTTTTATTCTGTCTTATTATTGTTGCTTTTTATTCCAACATTTTGGCTCTATACACTCTTCATTATTACTATTATTTCATGTCTAGTTTTATTCCATCTTATTATTGCTGCTTTTTATCCCTATCCTCTGGCTCAATACTCTCCATTTTATTCCATCATCTTATTGCCACTTACTTCAAATATTTACCCCAACAACCATGACTATTGTTTTTGGCAGATTGTGCATCACAAATTTGCAAATTACATCAAGAATTTATGAAAAATAATAGTGGAAGTTCATATCGTCAAAGAAAACATATGAAAAGTTTTCTTGTCATATATGGGAATTCTGTGACACGTTTGCAAAATCCTTACTTTGGTTTATGAAGACCACTACGTCATATATGGATCCTGTAGAATGTACTGGTTGTCTTCCTAGGAGGGGGGGGGAGGTTCAATCTCACTAACATGAAATGAAGCATTTCTTTTTTGGGGTGGAGGGGGGGGTCAGACAACAGCCCAAATCCAGTTAGCAGAAACATTAAGAATTTACACATCCTTTGAGCACATTAAAGAGTGAACAGGTGAATATACATATTCTAGATACAGAGCATGGGACAGGTTTAAATGGGGGGGGGCTTAATAAAGGGATTTCAGGGAGGGGTCTTGATCAATTTTGTTTCCATTTTTGTCTCTAGATTTTATATTTTAAACTTAAAAATTTCTGGAATGAGGGATTATCATTATTTAAATTTTGACTATTGTCCTCATCTTTATTGCTTTTATCCCAACGTTTTGAGCAGGCTTCTTCAGGTGTTTGCTGATCCAGGTAACTTTCAGAGAATTTCAAACTGAACACTTTATCTTGGCGGGGGGAGGTTAGTCATTCCACTTTCCATATCTAGGGATATTTCAAGTTGATTTTATTAAGTATTGGTCAGTTATTGCCCCGCCCAGTTTTTACTAGCTTCATGCTACTCAGCCTCAGGATTGAATTCAGTATGCTACCAAATTCATTAACCAATGCTTGGGGTGGAATGATTAAAAACAATAAGCATGTTGTACTGAGGGTGGGGGAATTGAAAGAAATAATTGTACCAACACTTGTATTTGGTGCACAAGATTAGGCGCAGAGGATTCAAATGATACTAACATAGTGTGTAACAGTTCCTCCACCTTTGTTTCACCCTTTTCTTTTTTTTGCTTGTGCACTGACACCATGTTATTTTAACATTTTAAAGGAAAAGAGTAATAAAAAAAAAATAAAAAAAAGGCGTCTCTGTGAACTTGACCCCTATAAGACCCAAGCTCCCCTGACACGAATCATTTCCCTTGCCAGGAAGAAGAAGCAATTCCTCTGAGCTAATTTGTATTCCGTATAACCTATTTTAACCTGGGCTTCATTTTTATTTCATTTCATCCCTTCCACCCTCCCAAAATGGCTGAATTTCAATGTTGTTCTCTAATTCTTTTAATTTCTTTCTATCTCACAACAAAATGGTCAGTCTCTCTCTCTCTTTCCAATGTAATATTGTACAATCTCTAGTTTCTAATTTAGTTACATTCTTCTCCCTCAGTCTGGGACATTCCTCATTACAACCTCTCTCTGTCTCTCCTGCAAAATAATAAATAGTTTCAAAGTTTCTAAATTTTTATATTTTCTAATGTGATTGAACTCTCATTCTCTCTCTTCACATTTTTTTAACCTATCTCTTTTACGTCTCTCTCTCTTTAATACTCTCTAAGTCTCTCACTCTCTCCTTCCCACCTCCTCTCTCACTCTCTCCTTCCCACCTCCTCTCTCACTCTCTCCTTCCCACCTCCTCTCTCACTCTCTCCTTCCTCACTCTCTGCCCAGTAGCTAGTTAATCCCCATTGCAGATACAACTCTGGCACATTTGTATTTTGCCAACATTCACAGAGCCAATCTTGGATTTATTTATATATCCTGCAACTATGCAAAGTGGTCTTTAGTTAAGGCTTCTAGGAGAGAGTGCAGAGTCTATCATGATCAGTGATTGAACAAGGCCAGTATGCTTAAATCCTCAGTCATGATGACTTGTAACTTTATGCTAACCCAACCATTGACATCTTATAAACAGTTCTGTCTATCCAATTTCACTCACCAAGGCTTGAATTTTTCAGGTTAATAGTTTTGTAGCAATCTCCAGTGTTAGGAGAAAAGGAAATTGAATATAGAATAGGCTGTGCTAGAGATAACTTTGCCTATAATAACTTTGTTATAACTGATTCATACCTCAAGGTATTTGAAGTGTTTAGTATTTCTACATCCTGAATTTTTATGATGGATTCAGAATATGTGTTATCACTGCTTTCATTTCAATTCCAGATCAGAGTTTCTGTTTTGGAAAGGTTTATCTTGAGTCCTATTTCTTGCAACACTTAGTAGAGGATGCTGATTTTCAAGATCATTCTTGAATAAGTAAATAAAAAAGAAAGACATGTCAACATATCTAAACTAATCAAATTGGTAGAATTCATGAATACAGAATAAAATAATGAATTTAATAAGTTTTCTATTCAATTTTACACCCATTTTTTTCTTCTCTGTTGTGTAAGCCATACTGATGTCAGTAGTTGTTTAAGATTTAGTCAAATATGAGTACAATTGTTATAAACGTGTTACTTTTTTTAAATTTGTTACTTTTTTAAAAAAAATTTAAATTGGCGACGTGAAGTAAAAATGCAATATAAAAATAACGTGTACCTACACATTATTTTATATTGTATTTTACTTTTAATGAATATCGCCATGAAAAGTGGAATTGGTGAGTTCAAATTCCAAGATAGCTAGCTGCATTCATTTTCATACTAATGGCCTTAGAAAAGGCAGGAATCTGTCATTTCTACTCCCTGCCAGCTATGGATTAAACAGCAGAGTAAACTAAGCTCTCTAGCCATAATTGACAACCAGACTATGAGAAGGAAAACTTAGTTCTAAGTTGTGTAGAAGACAGCAGGAAACTACTCCACTATCTTTCCCAAGAATGCATATTCACTCACTAAAAAAGAATTCTTATAATCCACAATATGGTTTGACTATGGTTTGATAAGCTGTAAAAAAAAAATATTAATTTATTAATCAATCCCATAAATGCAGGGAAAATCACAGATAATAAAAAGGCACGATCGCCTATGTCCCTGAAAGGGCATTTAAAGAAAATAAAAAGGCACGATCGCCTATGTCCCTGAAAGGGCATTTAAAGAAAATAAAAGGCACGATCGCCTATGTCCCTGAAAGGCATTTAAAGAAAATAAAAAACACGATCGCCTATGTCCCTATTTAAAGTCCCTGAAAGGGCATTTAAAGAAAATAAAAAGGCACGACGCCTATGTCCCTGAAAGGGCATTTAAAGAAAATAAAAAGGCCCTATGTCCCTGAAAGGGCATTTAAAAAAAAATAAAAAAACGATCGCCTATGTCCCTGAAAGGGCATTTAAAGAAAATAAAAGGCACGATCGCCTATGTCCCTGAAAGGGCATTTAAAGAAAATAAAAAGGCACGACGCATTAAAAAAAAAATAAAGTCCCTGAAAGGGCATTTAAAGAAAATAAAAGGCAAAGGGGCATTTAAAGAAAATAAAAGGCACGATCGCCTATGTCCCTGAAAGGGCATTTAAAGAAAATAAAAAGGCACGATCGCCTATGTCCCTGAAAGGGCATTTAAAGAAAATAAAAAGGCACGATCGCCTATGTCCCTGAAAGGGCATTTAAAGAAAATAAAAAGGCACGATCGCCTATGTCCCTGAAAGGGCATTTAAAAGAAAATAAAAAAGGCACGATAAGCCTATGTCCCTGAAAGGGCATTTAAAGAAAATAAAAAGGCACGATCGCCTATGTCCCTGAAAGGGCATTTAAAGAAAATAAAAAGGCACGATCGCCTATGTCCCTGAAAGGGCATTTAAAGAAAATAAAAAGGCACGATCGCCTATGTCCCTGAAAGGGCATTTAAAGAAAATAAAAAGGCACGATCGCCTATGTCCCTGAAAGGACATTTAAAGAAAAGGAAGCTGTGGAGAGTCATAATTGCCTACATCAAGAAGGGGTATGGCATTAAAAAAATAGTGTATTTAGTAATTCTTTTTGTTTCATTTAAAGTTTTTCTTTTTCGTATTAGCTTTCTCTTTTCTCTTTGGTTACATAGAAGTAATTAGATAAGCCGTAGTGACGTCAATAGTGGAGTTGATTAAGATTTTGGCAAATGCAAGTAGAGTTGCTTATGAAAAAATAAATCGGGTCATCTTATTCATAATCTCTCTGCTTATTGAGATAATAATAAATCCCTCTAAAATCTCTCTTGGGTATATCAAACACATCCTAATCAAAATATCTCTCACTCTTTTTGATATCTTAATCACGCACATTTCAGAAGCTATTTCTTCTAACCCAGTCAAGCTTGTCTTCCTTGAGATCGCTTCCCATACACCATGGACTGGACATATGAGTAAGTTTTAAGGATAATGGAGAGAAAAAAAGAACATGTATTTAGAATCCGAAAGAGACAGCTGAAATTTCTAGAACACATAAGGAAAGTGAGCTTGGAGAAATTGACATTCACAAGGACAGATGGAAACCCTGAGTAACCTACTGAACAAGATTGTGCAAATGAATGACAGAACAGTGAGTGGGAGGGTAGGGAAAAGACTTTGCTAAGAGTTACAAAATATAGGAAGTTGTGGAGAGCTATGATCACTAACGTCCTGAAGGGACATGACACATAGTAGATTTAGAAACTATTGTCTCTCTAAGAGTTGTCCATTCTGATTGCATTCGATTTCTCTGTTTGCAGTAAATCTTATGCATTTACTCTCTCTCTCTCTGCTGTAACTCTTGCATATTTACTCTCTATCTCACTCTTTCTGCATATTTTCTCTTTCTCTTTGCAATACCTCTTGCATATTCTCTCTCTCCTCGTACGTATTTACTCCTCTTTCTCTCTTTGCAATACCTCGTACGTATTTACTCTCTCTCTCTCTCTCTCTGCAATACCTCGTACGTATTTACTCTCTCTCTCTCTCTCTCTGCAATACCTCGTACGTATTTACTCTCTCTCTTTGCAATACCTCGTACGTATTTACTCTCTCTCTCTCTTTGCAATACCTCGTACGTATTTACTCTCTCTCTCTCTCTCTTTGCAATACCTCGTACGTATTTACTCTCTCTCTCTCTCTTTGCAATACCTCGTTACTCTTTCTCTCTGCAATACCTCATACGTAATTACTCTATCTCTATTTATAACAGCAGTTATTTCTGACTTTTTCTTACAAATTTCTCACCTCATCTTTACAACAATCATACACGTTCTCTTTTCCCAGATATATTTTCATCCATGTTCTATATTCCCCCTAAATACACACAAAATCTCTCTCTCTCTCACACACACACAATCCTGTTTTTCTACCCTCCTAACTCCACAAAATACGCTTACTCACTATTTCTCCTTTACATACTCTCTCACCCACACAATACTTCCCACCAACAAAGTTTCTCTTACCGTAACATCAGTTTTCTTTCACACAGTCCCACTTGCCTTCTTTTTCTACCACAACTTGTCTAACCTTATTCTCTCTCTCTCTCCACAAAATCCCTTTCTCAACCTCTCTCTCTCTCTTCTAAACAAACTTATAAAATGAAAAAAAAAAAGTTTCTTTTTATTTATATATATATATATATATATATATATATATATATATATATATCAATGATGTGAGCACAGTTTCAAACGTGCAAAGTTGTCAGAACATAACTGTTTTAGAAGTCAGGGATTGATTTTACATTGTATCAATCTTATGAACAGGACCCCCACCTCCTAAAAAAAAAAAAAAAAAAAAATCAATATTTTTCAATTCTGATTAATGTCATGGATTAAAAAAGGTATAAAGAATGCTAAACTATAGAAATTATTTCCCAAACTCATTTCCCTATTTTTTAACAAGTGGACCACTCTATTTAAGTAGTTCTGTTTTCTCTCCTAATGAGGTGGTTTAAGCTACAGCCATTTGTCTATTACTACTGAGTAATGAATTCAATCCTCATTGGGGTTCCATACTTATGCCCTTGTACCAAACTAAGCTAAATCAATTACAACCAATTCCTAAGTTCTGAGGCCCATTAAGATAGATTTTTTAAAAAATCGTCATAATTTAACTGCCCTAAGGTCAAAATGGCCAGTTTTGTTCTATACATTTGACAATAATGGACATCTCCTGACTTTTCGGACTTAAACAGCCACTCTTTCGTCACCCTCCCTCTAAATCAAACCACATGAGTTTAGAGAACTTTCAAAGGAGAGTCAAGAAATGGACACGACTCCACCTACACTAAAAGCGCTTAACACTCGGCAAAGAAAAGTCTGGAATTGCAAAAGCAAAATATGCAAAGAATTGAGGGTAATTTATTCACCAGGAGCAAAGGATGAATTTACTTAATCACACTCGTGACTGTTCTTCCCGTCAAATAAGCAGCCGTGTGCGAGTGTGTGTATAAAGTTTGGATAAGAATCCAACAGTATAGAAAATATGTAAGATAATCTGAAAAACTTCTATTTCAACGTTTTGACATTAAAACGAAAATTAGAAAAATGGATTTTGTTTCAACAAAATCAACATGAGAGATCTAGATCAAAAGCAAGAGTTTACCATTGAGAGCATAAACAATGCCCCCTAAAAATAAATCAGGGAAACATTGTGAAATTTAAAGGAAGTACATTTTTTTGCAACATGCTGACACGTGTTCCAATCCTCAAATATTTAATATTGTTGAAATTATTGCTAAAATTTTTTGTCAAGATTTACAAACTCTACGTTTCATTCAATTTCACAAACCAATCAATGAAATTTGAGTAAGCTGATTTGTTTGTAAAAATACTTTGGCAAAAACCCCATTTCACAGTTTAATAATTTCTTTACTTTTATAGGGCTTCATAGTAAACAATATTCTATTAAGAAAATTTCTTTTTTCTAACAATATTGCATCTTTATTATATAAGCATTTGTTATTTTAACCATTGAATTGTTTTTAAAATAGTGAGTATTTTGTATATTAAATATTAAAACTTAATTTTTCAAAAAATGACTGTAATTTCCAATATATAATATGCCTTCATCCATAATACGAACCCCTGAAAAGGTGCTGAAAGTGTGGGGAAAATGTTTCTACTTACGCATAATACACACCCCTTGTTTGGTAATCAAATCTTACAAATTGTACCTCTCCAATTTCATTATGGTCAGCGTTTCCTACTCTTATTTGACAAAGACAAGCTGTAAAGAGTTTCCGTTAAACAAAAGGGTGAAAGGTCGCTATTTAATAAGTAGTGAAAAGAACGAATCTTCTCTCCATCACATAACTTTTATTACAGTCTATTTTTATAATTGTTCTATTTTGTTAATTTCTTATTAAGCCTAATAAGATCTACGGCAAGAACAAATCTTCTATCACTTGTATTTTTATTACACTAGATTTTTTTTAGCAACACGCTGATGCGAAATCCTCACAGTATTGAGTATTGTTGAAATTATCGCTAATATTTTTTGTCAAGATTTACAAACTCTACATTTCGTTCAATTCTGCAAACCAATCGATGAAATTTAAATAAAATGATTTGTTTCGAAAAATACTTTGATAAAAACCCTGTTTCACAGTTTAACAATTTCTTTAATTTTATAGGACTTCATGGTAAACAATATTTTTTTTAAGAAAATTTCTTTTTTTCCTTTTTAACAGCAAAGAATAAATTTCTTACTCTTGAACTGGCCATGTGTTAATATTTATTTCTGGAGCTAAATTCCAACTTTTTGAAGCATTTGACCTTGTAATTTGTTTATACTTCTCAGAAACGCAGAGGAAACTGGATTCTTATCCATTTGAAAGGATATTTGGATGGCTTAGTACTTTGTACCCCCTTACTTGTTTGCACTTCTCCCCCAAATTTGGTTTCAATCAATCGATGTACAGGTATTTTAGAGAGTGTGATGGACAGACAGACAAACTAAAGTCACAGAATTTTATATATAGATAGATAGATAGATAGGTAGTAGATAGAAGAAAAGGAACTTAAACAGAAAAGGAACTTAAAATTAAAGAATACACCTAGAGCACTTGTGCGCTACTGAAAACTTTGTGGTTACAATTTTGACCTGGAAAATGCCATTTTAATAAAACTAAACAAATATAATTTAGTCAGATGAAGATGCATTCAAATGTCATGAACTACAAGTCTCCTATGACTAATATTCAACTAGGTTATTTCAGTCTATCGCATGTTTTTACCAAATGAATAAATACATATAGCCTCATACAGAACAAGGACCAATGCATTGTAATATAATAAGAGGAAATTTTTGATTAAATTCTTCATTTTGCTTGGGAAATGCTCTTTGGCTTCAGGTCATAAAAACGTGAAACCTTTCTTGCTCATAATAGTGGATTTCAACACATGAAAATTGAATATTGGAGGACGGCCTACCTGCTTCTAACTCTCTAAGCCTGATATACGTGACAGTAGTTGTAATTCTTGCCATATATCGCTTGATCATAAGGTTTTTGATTTTCTTTTTATATCACAAAATTGCCTGAGATCACCCACTTCCACAAACACACACCTCTAAAAACAAAAAGGTCACTTCCCTACACGCAAGCCACCAACCTGCCACTGGGTGACATGTTACTAGCATTAACCTTTGTAGTTCACTGTCAGATCGCCAGCATGTTCATCTCGGCAATGTTACCACCGGCAGACTGCTAGATGCCCACTGGTGGCCCACCGGCAATGCCATCAGCGGCCTATGTGTTGGGATTGTTGTGTAGAATCTTTTCTCTTGAAATGTTCTCCAGATATCTTATGTTTTGCAAAACTAATTTAAATTCTTCTATCACTGCCAATGAATTCTCAGTTTCAGGCTATCTTTGGTGAAAAGATTCTAGAATATATGCATGGCCAGGAAAAAAAATCATCCAGTGACAAGGGAACAGTCTTTTTAATCCCCAGGAGATACTTGCATGTATTTTCGAATTTCTTCGTTGCACTCTGTTAACTATCTCTTTTTTTTCTTTTATAACTCCACTTCTTCTCAGGACTGTGTAGAAGTAAATTATAAACCTGCTAACATTTGATGCCTTCTTGTATCTCCTCATAAAGGCAAGCCAACAATTCTACCTCATTTATAGAAAAAGTAATATTATGAACCTGGTCAAAAATAAGTATTGTACAGTTATATATAAAATGCTAATTTAGAGTTGCTAGTTCTCAGATCCCAGCTCCACGCTTATTTAGCAACTTTCCCACGCAAAACATGTGGCACAAGGCCAGGGTTATTCAGCCATCACTACTGATACGTCACAGCTGAAGAAGTCAAATGAATCTATTCAGTCACCCCTCTTCAGAACGAGGGTGTCATGTTGTTCTCCTTTTTTAACATGGGCATTCCAAGCCCTTTTTTAATCTCAGTACCCCATTGAACCCGTAAAACGGGTTCCCTGGCCAATTAACCTCCCGAAGGAGACTCCGTCTAACAGTTAGCCTCCTTCTTTCTTTCCTCCTGTCCGTAAATAGAGTATTCCGGTCAATGTAGAAAGTACTGGATCAAATGATCTTACCTGCTAACATGACTGCCTTCTTGTATATCCCTCGTGAAAGACAGGCCAGCTAATTCTACCTCATTTATAGGAGAGAGATTTAATGCAGCAGGTGGGTTAGTCCACTTTGCTGGAATGGACTTGCCCAACACATTTGCAGGAGTGGACTCTATTTACCCAAATATCTCTCCATCAAATCACTCAGGAGAGGCAGCTTGAAGTGACTACACCCGTTTACTTGTGTGTCAGGCCATTTGCAAGCTAACCAATATTCTACAGATGGTAATATATTAGAAAAAATATCTAACAGTATAGAAGTAGCATTCTTTCTACATTTATCAGCAAATATTTGTGTGTTTGGTGATTTTAATGCTCATCATGTCAAGTGGTTTCATTTAAGCATTGTAATGTTACTGGTGTTGTCAGTATTCAGACTTTCAATTTTCACATTGCTTGGTCTCTCAGTCAAACATTAGATTTCCTTAATAATCCTTATCTTTCTTGACTTGATTTGCTCCTTACCTCCTCTTCTGGCTTTTGTCAAGCATCACAACTCTGTCTTCTTGGCAATTTGGATAATCTTGTAGTATCTGCTGTTATTTCTTTTGAATCATCTATTTGATATGAAACTTCTATTTGCAAAAATTATTTCTGTTACCAGCGTACTGATTGAGATTTACTTTGTGATTTTCTTCCCGACGCTCCTTGATAAGTCATCGCAGAGTTTTGCTGCAGGCATTAGGCATACAGGCAGGGAATACAGTACCCAGAATTTTCAGTATACACAAGGAGCAAACCAATCTTTAACTCTACTAGATAAAATAAGAAAGCAGAGTTTAATGTCTTGCGGTAAGCAGGATGCTTCAATGAGTTACAACTGAAAGTGCCCCTAAAAAAAATAAAAGTAACCGAGTTTGGTTTTTAGAAGAACTAAGCATACCTGACCTAATCAGCTTTCTAAGAAACCCTTGATTCTGAACAATGACATTTTAAGAGTCACACCGGCAACCCTGAAAATCTTAGGGCCTTTAATTTTTTTTTTTTTTTCAAAGGGAAA